ATCATGGACGTCATCACAAACCATTGTGAGGAATCTCTCAGCCCAGCCAAATTTCTCCCGTAGTTTTCAAACGCCTTGGTCAGGTCAACAAACATAGTGTACAGGTCCATGTTCTGCTCTTGGCATTTCTCCTGCAGCTGACTAACTGTAAACACCATGTCAATGTTTCCTTGGTCTTTTCTGGCACTGATCTCTGGCAGGAGATCCTGCTTTAGATATTTCACTGATTTGTTCAGAGGGGGTTGAATAAAGGTTTTGGTGGCAATGGAGAGGAATGAGATTTAATTGTCACAATTTGAGTGTTTCTTTCTGCTGCGTAAATGGACAAAAGGATATAATCATATTCTTACAGGTGCATTTCTTGCTTCTAAAACAAAACTGAAATAATTCATTGACCTGCTTAGCCAAGCATTAACCTCCAGCCTGGGATAGCATCAGTTCCTGGATCTTTTCCACTAGACAGGAATTTCACTGCGTTTGTCATTCCAGCATTTGTGTGAGGGTCATCAAGAGGAATGTTGACAGCCTGTTAATTACTCCTTCATTGATGGGCAAAGAACTGACTTTCATCCATTTTTTATGAATTCTGGCTTTATTTAGGAGTAATGTTGACCTGTTGGCACTGACACTTGGTAGTGAACTCGTAGGCAATGGCTCTTAGTCATTTTTTAAGCCATTACAGAGCCTCTCACAGTTCTGGTGTTCTCCATATGAATGAACTTCATCTGGTTTCTGATTCGACCAAATGTTTTGCATCTGTCTTGCAGATGATCCAGTAGACCTCTTGCTTGGATAGAGATGACTGGCGATTGAGGTAAACCCTGTAGAAACAATGTTACTCAAGTGGAGTATGCAATATCCTTAGAGGTTGCCCACTCATCCTCAATGCAGCAGTTGTCATTTCTGCCTGTATACAGGTGACTGCAGGGTTTCTCTGAAAGAGCTTTTTTTCATGACTACCTGTTTGATCCTTGAGACAATGGAGTGCCCTTCATGCTCTCAGGATGTATGAGGAATAGACGTTGACATTTTAACTTTTGAGTTGGTAACAGTGGTCAGTTGAACACATTATCCAACATAGCATTCATTAAATGCACACCCTGCCTTCCTTCCTTGTGATGACATGGGCAGTCAGATACCAGTTCACAGAACAGGGAGGCATCTTGTTATAATTAGGGAGTTAGTGGCTAAGAGCTCATGCTGAACACCTACTTTCAGTAAGCAGGGGAACCATTGCAGTGACAATTGTCAGCCACATTTTTCTTGATGACCTCTTTCCTTGTCTGGTCTGCACCAACTCTTGAGTTGAATTTACATTGAATGATTAGCTTGTCTGGATTATCAGCAGCCAAGGAGTACTGGTGATTCTAGAATTTTTCCTTGATTTCTTCAGGGTTGATTCTGGTAGGGGCGAATACACTAAGAGTTACTTAGCTGTTGCTGTGCAGGAATGGCTAAACACGCCTTGGTGACCTTTAACAGATTTGAAGAGCAGTCATTCAACTGAGATGGTTCATGACAGCAAAGTCTAGACCAATTGTTTGGCCATCGCCATCAGACAGTTAGACAATGGATGGGCGGTGAGAGACAAAATGTAAACAGGACTTGCACATGAATTTAATCACATTGACAGAGAGTTGCACATTGTCAGCCCCATTGACTTGTCCTGCCCAGTGGTAAATTGGAGATGGATCCAGATGCAGTGGGTGACCAGGACATCAGCTGTGTCTTGTCAAACCACACCTTTCCATAACACGGTGCTGACCCACCTTCAAAGTCATTGGATCTTAAAGGGATGATTGTAATATGGCATCTGTGCCAACAATCAGAGTATCCACAAACAAAGCCTCTAAAATGCAGATCTCTGAATTTTTTTCACACTCCAAGGTGGTCTGTGATGTGCAAAGCAGTCTGTCAATTCAAAACACGCAATGCTGGTGACCACCTCCATTGTGCGACATACATTTTGTAGCATATTTTTTAACCATGCCAATGGAAGTCCTACAGTCCTGGTCCCTGCCAACAACCTCTCCCTAATCATCATCCGACTGTAGTTGTTTCTGCCCAGGCATGCTGTGTAACTCACCCAGCGTTCTCTCCATAGGTCACCTTTGGTTTTACCTGGCTCCTTGTCTGTCAGCAGAATCATAGAACTGGGTGGATACCAGGGCTTAAAGAGGCTTGCAGGATTTCACAGCAGTTCAGCAAATTGCCCTCCAGCAGATTACTAGAATTGCTGAGGTATCATCCTTGGGTTGTGGCAGCGGCTCTGCAGTACAACCCACTCTCCTCGCTCAAGATGAGATGAACTATCTTCCCACCTGTGCACTCTCTGGCAGGCAGCCTGGAGTGCTGTTAGCTTTGGGCTGCAACATCTTAGGGTAGCTAAGACTTCCTGAGCTAGAACTACACAAGGTCATCCTGCAAGGCAGTCTGCTATCTCTGTCTCTCTCTCGCTGCCTCGCTCTCTCTGTCTCTGTCTCTCTCACGCTCTCTCTCTCTGAATATCAGCAGCTTTCCAGCAACCATAGTGAACCAACTGGGAGAGTTCTGTGTAGGAACGCTAGGGAAAGGACACATGAAAGAGAAACGCTCATGGAATGCACAAGGTTGATTAGACCATGATTGTATTGAGTTCAGAGTTTGCAAGGGTCCCAACCGGAAAATGAGGTGTTGTTCTTGAGGTGGACTCAATATCGAGTTCAGTAATTTTGGGCCTGAGCATCTTCTCCCCTATTCTTACCCCAACACACCAGACCTCGTCATCATATGGGCTGCTACCACGTACAACCTGTTGTCAGCCACTAACGATCACCATTAACATTCTTCCAGGCTGACCTTTACTCGTTCCTTTGTCTGCTCAACTGTTTTTCTCTCTGGGCTCCATCTCCATCTCCATCTATCATTCACTCCTCCTTTCCCCCACCCCAACTCCTTATCTAGCATATATACCAACCTTTTCTAGCTACTATCAGTTCTGAAGAACAATTACTGGGCCTGAAATATTAGCTTTCTCTCCGCAGATGCTTCCTGACCTGTTGTGAATAGAATAGTGATCAGTAACAGGCAGAAAGCAGTCATTGGACAGTTAGTAAAAGGTGAATTGGGGTTGCATTTACTCATATTGCACTCTGAGTTGATGACCAATAGTCTGGCTTCAACACTAATAATTAATAATTTAACTGCATGTTGAGGTGCCCTAGCGGTGCCTAACCTACGTTAGCATGTTAGGAATCACACTTCTCCTGCTCGAGTCCAAAGCTCGAGTCCAGTTCTGTCATTGCTGCTGGTAGCATTGGATGCCTGCTCATTGACTTTAATTGGATGGCTAGCTAGGAGGTAGCCAATTAGGATGCCACCTACAGGCAGATTACTGTCATTGATTTTGGGCTCTGAAACCTCACTTGATCCTGACTTCAGGTTCCCAAAACCTTGCTGCAAACCAACCCATTATTTTTTGTTTGTTTAGTGAGGCAGAATACATTTAATGTTGCATTTATATAATAGACATAAACATTGCAATGTATTTTAAGGTCTTGGGACAAATACATCTCTCTTGGAACCTTTTTGCATTGATATCAATGTGTGTCACAACATAAGCTGTTCTGCAACTTAACAATCAGATCATGATGCCAGGCTTGACCTTACTAAAGCCAGAAGCTTTGAGATTATCTCTACAAAAGGAACACATCAATTGGATTCATATCAGATGCAGGATAATCCCAAATCAAATCCAAGGTTAAAATGTGTTCAGCTGTTTATAGATTCCTTTTTTGTATCTTTTAAATGCCGGGCATGCAAATCATACTCTACTGCACTATGAACTTGAGCCTTAATTCTCCAGTAGATTGTGCTGAATGTTCTCTCATATTAGGAAGTGTTCTGCTGTTGCTCAGCTGAGTGCAATGTGTGGCAAAAGAGAGTCACCAGGATAAATCAATGCATATGCCAAATACACATGTATTCATAGTAATATATGTGTATTAAACAATTCCTGAAGATGTATAAGGGCAGATTTGTTTTTATCACCTGTCTAGATTCGTAACAGTTGGAAAAACTTGCATTATTTGCAATTAGTATATAGCAATGACTGTGTGATTGATGACTTTAATGGCATTATCAGCTTAAAATGTGCGATTTTTCTAAAATTTTAAGCAAAAATGTGCTGAAGAACATGTTATATTGCTTTTGAGATCTTTAGTCATTTTTCCTTATGGAAATCAATATTCTGTCTTATAGAGAACATGTAAATATCTTGCACCCCAGTGCTACAGTATTGGATTCATGGACCCAATATTGAATTTGGCTTCCCCAGATTTATCCTTGTCTGACAGTAGATAAAAGAGTTCTGCCCATTCTACAGTCTCTTTCCTCCTTATTGAGGATTGAGCAGGTTGCAGTTATTAACTGAGAGAAAATCTGGAGTGGTAGAGAAAAATAACTCTAACATCTGCCAAGAGCAAGTTGACATAACATCTTGGAGGAAACACAGAAACCTACAACATGTAAGATCAATGGAAAATTCATTATTTCAATATGTTGAGTTAGGAGTGCACACATCATTTCTGAAAATCTTCCAATTGAAATTGACCTGTCGTCCATACGAGTGAAATTACTTGTTTCTGGATATCCGTTGTTTCTGAAGCCAAGCAGTGAAAAGCTTTCTGCTACAATCCAAGAAAATTTTCAACACTGTGTCGCTTGTCATCTGAAATGATCTGTTTCTTTACTTTGATGACAATTATAAAATGATTATAACCAAACCCAAGCCACACAAATACACCTGCAGTATTTCTACATCTTGTAGCAAGAAACATTTTCAGTTCACTAATTTGCTTACATGTCACTTCTCACTTCCAGTCAAGATACTATCAATAGCAGTGACATACAGTTACAATCTGCAGAGTGTGTACAATGTATTCAAAGAGAGTGTGGAATTAACATTTTTGGAATGAGTGATTTTTTTTTTGATCAGTTATTATTGTTTATCATTTTTACAGGTCTGAAATCTCTTGGAATGACTGTCACTCAATGTTATGAAGAAGTTGGCTTACTTCTCCTTTTCCTGTCTGTGGGCATTTCCATCTTCTCATCAGTGGAGTATGCTGTGGAACACAGTGCCCCAGAGACAACATTTTCCAGTGTTCCCTCTGCATGGTGGTGGGCAACAACATCCATGACCACTGTGGGTTATGGAGATATTCGACCTGAAACTACTGTTGGGAAGATAATTGCTTTTTTATGTATCTTGACTGGCATATTGGTCTTATCACTACCTATAGCGATTATAAATGACAGGTTCTCCTCCTGTTACTTTACTCTGAAGATGAAGGATGCTGCCCTTCGACACCATGATGCTTTGAAGAGGCTGACCAAGAATTCAGCTTTTGATTCCATTGCCAATGTTAATTTACGAGATGTTTATGCACGTAGCATTATGGAAATGTTACGGATTAAGAATAGAGAAAGGGCAAGTACCAGAGGTAGTGCTGGAGGTGAAATTTGGTGATCTACTGTTAATTAATGTAGTGTGCGGTCTATTTCCAGCCAGTTATTTATAAGTCTTAGTAAAAGAGGCAATCTCAAAACATAGTTGCTCAGGACACTTGTCTCAAACTTAAACATTACAGATTTTTGATCCTAATTTCAATCTTGGTCTTAGTTTAAAAAAAACTCAAAAAGGTTTGTAAATTTTAATTCTGCCATTTGTGATGCTATCTTTCTGATGGATTCAGCCTCCTCACAGTCACAAAGTCATGGAATTTAATGACAGATTTGTAAGGCTTCTTTTATAAACCAACATATCCATAAACAATTATACATGGAAATTAATGTCCCATAAAATACCCTGTAAGTATCTTCAAACTTAAATTTTGTCATAATGGAGAACTGAGTGATTTAACTGAGGAGAAACATGGACCACTGAAATATGAAAACACTGAACTAAATAGATCCAAGATTACATTTCTGAACTATTTATTATATATACACTATTTATTGGAATTTATAACAATCATTATTAGTATTTCACATCAGTGTCTTTATATTTTATTTTTAGGAATTAGTTATTAACAGAAAGCAGTTTTGGACTAGATTTTATAAATGGGAGAAATATCAAATGTTTAATGTGCTGTCTATCTCTTTTTTTGTTCTGACTGCTGAAAGCTTGTGATTAATTCTAGAATTAATACTGAAAACGAAAAAGAAATTGCCTAAAATCAAACTGAAAAGTATTGAACTTTTTGTCCACGTAGAGCTTGTCTTAAAAACAAGCCCTGAATATTGTAAAATTGAATAATATTGTTACATTGTTTTTGAAATATGTACCTTCCAGAATTTGATTTTTCTTGATCAAAATAAAATAATGAATATGTAATATTTCCTGTTATCATATCTGTAGTTAAGAAAACAAAAGATTTGTTTTCTGTGAGGGTAAAATCCCTTCAGGTTAACTCAAGTTGGACATCACATGAAAATGTTTTAAGGGAATACAATAAAGTACATCTCGCTTTTGCTGTCTGAAAAGGACATCATAAAGTCATCACTTAGCAGCTTCCCAATGCTACCTTGTATAGACTGGCTGGTCTCTCCAGCTCCTAGGTCATCTGGAGCCTGGTTGAAATCTTTAGTTACTAATCCTTGTTTTCACTGCTGGCAGTTATTTTAATGGACAAATCAGAATCAAAGTACACTTTGCTAGGCGACAAAAGTTGCAAGTAGCCTGAGAAGCTCTGAATTTGTTTAAAAATGTGTTGCACTGGACAGCACTATGCAATACTGTCCATACCATATCCTGTCCTGTCCTGTCCTGTCCTATAAAAGTTAAGACTCAAACAAGCCCCAAGTGACAAAAGATTTCTTATATCCTGAGGTCAACTAAAGGCTAGTTATTGTGACTGTAAGAAAGATTTTTTGTTATAGATTGGACCTGCTTTCCACATGTGCTTGTTTTCTCAATAGTCTGGCGGGGTTATCACAAGTTCTAAAACACAGGCAACTGGATTTCTTGGTCTCTGCAGTTTTGATTTGGTGTATGACAGATAGTCAAAATTTATATAGACTGGTAAATTCCCTGTGTTGCTGCATGCAGGAAGCTAGAGGTTACATTGCTGTGGAGTTAGTGTTGGAAAAAGAATGGGATATTGGTTTGCATCATCCCCATAGAGAAGTTGGAAATGAATTTATTAAAGTGACCTGGAGTGATAAAGAGAAGTAAGAGTAATAAAAGTTACAGAGTGATTTCTGGAAGGCTTGTGACAATTGTATTTTGGCAATCATTTTAACTTTGGATGGTTGTGTAAAATCGGCAATATCAGATCAGCCACCATTTCTACATTTTTCCCTTCACTAAAGTCCAAACAGGGGCATATGATGTTATTGTTTATTTTATATTTCATCCAAGTCAAAATTCCTTCTGTTGTGTTACAGAGATAACTTTATGCTGAGTTCCAGTGGGTGGCATGAGTGATAAAGATGCCTGATGCCAGCATGAAACTGAGGGGAATGTTGATTCCAGGACCTCATTTAAAATAAGTTTATAGTCATCAGGATTGGACATCCCACTGTTTAGCTCTTACACAATTTCTAGCAGACTATTGAAAGCAAGAATACACCTCTTAAAATAAGGTTGTGATTCCTGCTTCTGAGCTGCTCATCGTTGAACAGAATTCTGCAGCCAAGCATCAGGGTGCCCCAGGTTTTCTGATGCCTGTCCAGAGGTCCTAATGAAAGTGGTCAGAATAAGAAGGGAATTATATTTTCTTACCACTGGGAAGAAATGCAGGCCAATATCCAGCAGACCTAGACAAAGATGATTGACTTACAGCGTGAGTGTCAGGAGCATTATCTCACACGGAAAGATAAGATATAGAAACTTTAAGTCGGCCATTCAGCCCATCAAGTCAGCTCTATCATTCAATGAAATCATAGCTGAATGATTTAAAAGCAGCAAGGGTGAGTATAGCTGCAATCTGTCATTGCAATATGGTCATTTGTCTCAATTCTGATAACATAGGAAGACAAGTGTATAATGAGATAAAAAACACAAATTATTTAAGGACTGAAAGCAGAAAGTTATGGTTCATGATCATTTTTCAGACAGAAGGGTGGTAGTCAGTGATCTTTCCCCACAGATCAATGCTAGGTAATTTTGTTTTTGCTATATAGAAATGACTTGGATATTGGAATAGAGGTTCGAATTTTAAAATTTGCTCTTGACACCATTTCTGGCAAAGTGGCAAACAGTGAGGATGAAATGAATTGCCAGTAACAGGCTATAGATGGTCTAACAGATTGGAAAGAAAAGTGGCATTTAATGCAATTGTGAGGAAATGCATTTCAGTGAAAAGGATGGGAGGAGGCAACATGACACAATTCTAAAATATAGGCGGGGCAGAGGGAGCTGGGGGTGTATGTGCCTTCAATCTTTGAAGGTGGGAGGACATATTGAGAGGGGTGTTAACAAAGCTTGGGCAATCCCATGCTTCAAAGACAGTAAGTACAAAGCATAAATGTTATGCTAATTCTATATAAAGCTATGGTTGAGCTCCAAAAGGATATTGTGTCCAATTCCAAGCAGAATAGTTTATGAACTATAAGGCAGCTCCTCAAGAGGATACAGTGAAGATCCACCAGGATGGGAAAGGTTACAAGATTAGCTTGGAATGCCTGGAGTTGTTCTCCTCAGAGCAAAACAAATTCAAAAATACCGTAGATGCTGTAGATTTGAAATACAAACTGAAAATGCTGGTGAAATTCAGCAGGTATTGCACTATATATTAATAGAGAAACAGAGTTAACTTTTCAAATTCAGTAATTCTTCAGAACAGAAGAGTTTCAAAGGCATTGGACTCAAAACACTAAATTCTGTTTCTTTCTCCCAGACCTTCTGAGATTGAGAGAAAATGTGATAGAGGTGTTCTGCTTATCTGATGGTTGAAGGATAAAGGAATACAGATTTAAGTTTTGAGGCAAGATGTGCAGGGAGAATGATAGGAAGAGCCCTTTTACAGATCAAGTGGTAATGACCTCACTGCCCACTAGTGTAATGGAAGCAGAAACAATCAATTATCTCAAAAGGACATTGGATGCACAGTACAGGGAGTGGGATTTACTTGATTACTCTGTGGAGAGTCAGCTTGGATTTAATTGGGTGAATAGCCTCCTTCTATGCTGTAAATTACTCTGGCCTCTTTGGACAAATGATAATTTTGACTTTTTATTGGCAAGGCAGCTTTGTATTCGCAGAACTTATCCAAGCACCTAAATTTGATTGAACATTATGCCTCTGTTCTGTTCATTCTAATTCCTAGATATCTAGTTACCTAGCTCGCTAAATAAAATTCTATCATCTATTGAGTATTTAATGACAAATAGCTTTGGATGCCTTTTCAATGAACAGTTAGGGTAGTACATTGACATTGCAAGATAACTTATAGATACTTTAACGTTGGTTAAAAAAGTTAGAAAAAAAATTTTCTCTGTTCATGTTAGCATATTTGTGTATCATTCCCCAGTGTAATATATTGCTGCAGTCATTGACCCAGATTCTGGTCTTCATGACATAAACAGCAAATGTATTCTGGATAAAGCTCAGTACTGCTGCTCTGTACTTTTGGGAACTGGAAGTGCCACTTGAGAGAGAAGGAAATATAACACTGATTAATTGGTAAACAGTAAACCCTACTATTTCTGAAACTATACATTTAGAAAGAAACAAACCTGAAAACAAAATCTTGAAAATGCTTGAAATGCATAACAGAATCATGTTGAAAAAAGATATAGACAGCTTCATGTTGCTTTGTCTGGAACTGAAAAATGAACTAAATGTACTGAACACAATAAACCCATGCCAAGCTGGAGCATAGTTGACAAAAATGTTTCACCAAATTCATCAAAACTCAAATTAAACTCCTAACTAACTGTCTATGGAGCATGAAAACCATACAGAGGCTTTTAACTCTATTAACTAAAGCTATGAGCTCATCAATAGTCCTTCATAAGTATTGGATAAGCATGTGATAGCTTGAAGGGTTAGACTAAATGAAGAAGTATGCAGTTTATTTTTCTATTGAGGTTTGAGAGCATTTTGCCTCAGAGAATATGCATTTCTGATAAAGCTTTCTTGTGCCATTCCCAGCATTTTGGAAAATACAATAAACATGGGCACTTTGCTTTCATCTCAGAAGAAACTTCTGCTAAATTTTATTCAAACCTAATATTTGTTTGCCATTTGCAAATTCATTACATTCTTTACATTTTAAAACTAATTTCTTCTTCCAGCAGTGGATAGGAAACTTGAGGTTAAATGCCTGGATGTTGATTTTTATTTATGCCCTGCTTGTTCCAGAAGGACTTTTGACAAATTGATAATCAAGATGTTGTTGATCTCGAAAGACAAGCCTTGGGCACTCTTCAACGCAGGTGACTGGGGTCTCGTCCTCTGGCTAGAGAATGGGTGAAATTGCTGTGTCATCTCTTTTTGGAAGGAGTTACACACTAGATTCACCAGCTTTCACACAGCCACTTGGGTTTACCCATTTTATATTTAGTGGAGTTCCAGAGTTAAAATTTATTTGTTGGCCTACAAATTGATTAATGATGCAAACACCTAACCAACCAATATGGTGAGCTGTGTGTAGACGTGTTCTACAGTAGATGTCGACAACTTATCTTCCATATTGTAGAAGCTGAAGTACAGCTGTCCAGGGCCCATGTCCAAAACACACATTGGGCCTTTATACCAAATAATGAAGGGGATCCATTCACAACTTTGAGCTGCACTGAATACAGCTGGCACCTGCTCTATTGGTGTTTCTTAAGGGGAGGGGAGGGGCGTGCAGTCACAAAAGATTTCTTTTTGAAAGAGGTTTACCAGAAACTGGCATTTTGAAGAGTACTCCTCTCATGGCTCCATTGCAGCCATAAAGAACATTGCCAGCTCCTGCTCAGTTTTCTTCTGATGACCTTCCCATTGCCCCTGCCACAGTTCATTGCCTATTCCTACTCATTGCCTCTCCTCCTAAAACCTACCAGAATGGTACAGGGCAAGCAACAAGCAAGAAATTACAAGCTGCCTGACCCACAGAGCTCTCTGATTTATTTTCAAAGTGGCTCAGTTGTACCCATTTCAACACAGAGAATAATTTTATGCTGAAGTCTCGTCACCAGACTGGTACTATCTCACCCCCCACTCTACTTTCTACCACTTCATAAAAGAGTGAATTGGCGCTGCGCCAACTAA